GGGCCACAGAAGCATCCTAGAATATCTCAAAAACCAAATTATCGTAAGCTGTTTGAATACACATTGGAATAAATAAATTAAAGACATTACTAAATAGGGGCATGTATGGGAAAATGTCGTGCCGCACTTGACTTCCTCATATCCTGGTGTGTGTATTCTTTTTCATATTCTGATGCTCCTACATAATGCTCCTTTGAAGTTACTGTCGAAGCCGAAATTCTCGTCAATCGAAAAGATTAAAACCGTGTCAAGTACCTACATGGCAGCTGCTGGTTTGAACGAAATGGAAACAGATCTTGATAATTGCGTGAGTTCTAAAGCTCTTCAAAGACGTTTGAATGTCCTTTCTGAGTTCCCCGATTCATTTCTCTTGAGAATTTATTTCAGAGAACAGAAAACTTTAAAGCTTTATTAAATTCAGGAATTCACCGATGATAGCCGTAACGCGAATCACGCCATTGTCACCAACAATAACGTCATCAATATCACCAACAATAACGTCATCAATATCAATAACAACAGTGATGCACGAAATCTTGTGGGTTACGAGCTAAAGTCATAATATTTAAAAGAAAATCGATAATCGATTGAATCCTGGCAAGGCAGACACCACAGTACGTGGATTTCGTGGTACAGCAATCAGACATAGTTTGGTTGAATAGAAAACGAAAGAAAGCATGTGTATGCATGACAACAGGTGGGAAAACGTCCCAATCGTTAAAAATTCATAATTAGGTTGCGTCAACAAATATTCCACCTAGAACATACAACCCGGGAAACTGTATCACAATGTTCGAGGGCTTTAAAACCTGAATACGTAGATCCAGAACAAGTATTAAGATCGGTGACTAACATCAGTCTGCATTAATTCGCTACGATTCTTAGTTCCATTGGCTACTTATGGTGGTCTTATGGTGCTGGCAACCTACTAAGATATGGATAAAAGGTGATGTCTGGGCAAGATCAATTCCGTCCGAGGGATGCGACGCCGCATTCGACTCCCATTCAGAATCGTGGAGTGTTGTTGAATGGGTGCGTGGCCTAAACGATGACTTGCGGTGGCCCGCCGCTGTTCAAGTCAGTGATTTTATCCTCCCAGAAAAACCTGGTGCCAATTAACTGAATCGATTCGGGAATCGAACCCGTGACGATGTGCGCGGAATAGTTCGCCACATGCCGCTGCACCACATCCGCCCTACACCACACTCTAATGGATAGTGATAATGAATATAAACAAGCAGTATTTGAAAAAACGAACAAATGTTCTGTTGTTTCGTTTTCAGATAATATCAAGAAGTTACAGAAAACTTCGTCAAGCTATTCTCCGATATAATCCGCTCTGCTGTTGCAATACATATCGTAGCTACTGTCGCCTTATTACTTATGTTTTCTGTTACAGAATCTGAAGATGTACCGTAATGCTACGATGATGATTGAGTTTGCTTTGGCGATGTCGCAAATACTCGATCAACTGAATCGCGACTCATTTCAGAACTTTGAACTTCGAATAGGTACGTACTCATGTCACAAGGGTAAAACTCGTTTGGAATTCATTGTACTCGCCATCCATCTCGTGCTATTGCTCCTTCATTTACATAATCGTTGAAAAATTGGCGTAGCTTGTGCTTACTTCAGAGTGTGGAACCCTTCAACAAGCCCCTTGTGGAGAACTCTAATCACCGGTGTTATCTGTAGGGGAGGCCAAGCAACAAACTCCAATCATGACTTTCAATTGGTTGAACTGTTTCGAATGCGTACTTGACCTTTGCAAGTATTTCCGCTATCGGCCAATAACTCTTGGCACAACTTCTGTTTTCACTAAAAGGGACAGATGGTAGTGGAGCTCGGTATGCTGACCTTTGGATGAACTCGCCTTGTTTTAAGCCCGAAGAGCTTGTTAAGTCAAGTAGCTAATCCGTCAGATAATTGGATAATGAGGATATCTTGGATAAATGGAATCGGTCCACGGTCTGATGGCAGATTTCAAATCTATTTGTAATCTCAGTTCATCGAGAGTCATATGTCGTGGATATGTCACTACTTTTATTGCTACAGTGCGTATAGTATAGTCATTATCGGATTCCAAATCGCTTAAAGACAATATTTTCGATTGACGTAGCCTCCCTAGTCAGCCAACATTTAGATTCAAAAATAATAATTTTTTTTATGAAAATAGTCGAATACGCAGATCTCTGCAATGTTCATCATTCAGGTATGAGTGTTGGTCCGCTTGTGGCTGGCGTTATAGGAGCTCAGAAGCCACAATACGATATCTGGGGAAATACGGTAAACTTGGCTAGTCGAATGGATACACACGGAGAGCCAAGAAAGATTCATGTGTGTTTTTTATTCATGTAAATGAAAATTACTCCGTAAACTTCAAGAAGATCCGAATTATGGGTCAGTGAGAGACGTTGATCCTTCAATCTTCATGGTCTGGGTTAGTCTTGGCCCAGGACATAAAATGAAATTTGCTAAGCTTTTCTGAAAGCAGGTCCAAACCGTTCGACACTTTAAGAGCAGGCATACAACCTCAATGTCCTTTTGACGTCCGTTTCAGGAATGCACGAGTTAAGTAGTTTTTAGTTAGTTGTCTCGCCGCGCGTCATACCGTAAGGACCTCCTAATCGTCACTTTGAATATCAGGAAAAAGGAGGATGTGATTAGGAGCGCTAACGGACGAGTTCGTAGGCTCTGGAAGATTATCGCGATCAACAGGGTTACCAGCCGTTCTTTAAAAAATTTTACTACCGCACACAGAGGGGCTACAAAAGCATCTGAGAAGAAGCGACTTCAGAGATACTCCAGCACCTACGAGCAAATGTATTTCACCTAAAACTTATCCGCTCTATAGTATTCAAGTGATCTTTGTGACAACGATAGTTGATAGGCAATTCATTGCTTTCAAGACACTGCTCTTCTTTGTCTCACGAGGTTGGCGATTTATGGACAAAACTTCAGTCCCGGACGGGACTCGAACCTGTACTTGTGCTTTCCGGGCCCGGGCTCTATCCCTTACACTTTCGATACCCCGCTTGATAAGCTACGGCTCAACACGTTGTACGTGTGAGTGCTGATAGGCTATGGCATATAAGCCATTGAGAAGGCGGGACAAGTGGGGTCTCGGTAGTGTACATAAGGGATAGAGCGTGGGGCCCGGAAAGCACAAGTACGGGTTCGAGCCCCGTCCGAGACTGAAGTTTTGCCCATAAATCGCCAGAGTTCTGCGGCGAAGTGACAGCAGTTAACAAGACATCAAGTCAAAACAAGCTCTTTTCTGTATTTCCCCATTAGACCCCCTTTTAATTCAAGGCCTTTACTCTCTTTCATATTTTTCAGGTGACCACAGAAATGGGTGAAATACTGCGGCGTGGTGGTTATCGCGTACAAAGCCGTGGAAAGATCAAAGTGAAAGGTGTAAAGGTTGGGATTCATTTTGAGTGTTGTCTTAATTTGCCCAGCATATTGGATGAATTTGAACTAAAGCAAATAGCCGAGCTGTCAGGAAAGCTGTGAGGGGATTATTTTGTAAGCACATACGGTGACCGCCTTCTAAAGATCCTTAGTCGGAAGCAGCAGAAGTATCTTTCAATTTGAAAGCGTTCCTAATCCCTTGTACTATCTGAGTGCAATCTACGTTTATATAGAAGTACTGAATAAAACAATTTAACTGGAGGGTTTTCGACCGCACATATCCCTCTTCATCTGGGGATAGCGCCCCTCTCTTAAAACTGACCCATTCACTATGCTCCTTCAACAAACTGCCGAGGAGGGTCACTGCTTCGAGTGCAGCAATATTCCCTCTTTTCATGCGACATTTCCCCAAACTGTATCATCTACCATGAAGTTTCGTCAACTTTATTGCTGAGCGTCATTCACCGTTACCTTTGAGCAAGGCTCACTGCCTGCTACTTTAACTTGTGGATCAGCAGTCCCTCTATGCTCTCCGCACAAATTCATTAAAAATCATGAAGACTCGCTTCATCATTAGCGTAATGGTCCCGCAAAACAAGTGGAATAAACAGTTCCCAGTTCAACTAAGAGCAGTGAATTTTTTTGCAAATGGTAATATACATTTGTAAATAGGAACTAAGAGATTACAATTTACGTTAATTTATGTTTACGTTGGCGAAATTCTTCTGCCAATGGCCTTGAACCCGAAAATCCTCGCTCGGCCGACGAACTTCACCAGGGCAAACAGTTGTGGAGAGGCTAGAACAACAAGGAAGTTGGAAATTGGGACGATCATCCCGATATTTCGAATGTGGAAACTTCTCCCCGAAAATACCGTCGCGCTCGCTGCACCCGATGGCGCGCAGTCGCGCGCGAAGGGATAGGTTTAAATTTATAGGGGAAGAGTGCGGTAGTTACCGCGAAATTTTTAGCAACAAAAACCTATAAATCGCATTTTTCAGGAGCCAATGGAAACATTTCTGATAGAAATCGACTCAAAACGGAATTCATCTGTGTCCAACATTTCGAATCATCCAAGTACCTCCTGAACGCCCATCCCTTCTGATTCTGATATTGATTGATTGATCTGCTTATTTATGTTATTAATTTATTAATGAATACTGGTAAATACTTGATAATTTGTTCACTACTTTTTCAAACGTGGGAATATTTCCCATGAAATATTTCAGCATTTCTCAAAATTCTCATTCGGAGTTCAAGTATTCTCTATTGGAGTTTCCTATTGTTTCATTGCTGTGCTTATTCAGTCATCCTAGTTCTATTTATGCCACGGAGAATTTACCAACGAAAATATTGGGACCATTTGCTGGTTGTGAGCGTGGTCATTCTTGTCATGGAGAGTAGGTGACGCACGAATGTTTCCTTTGTTTTCTTTGGTCCATTCCACGAGATGAACACATGTGAAGAGTAATGGTCCATGGGATGTGATACTGACCATCTCCTTTCCCCTCTTAGAAGTTTGATCCGTCAAACTAGGTGAAAGGACAAAGACCTTGGCCTCAATCGGTACCTTTCTGGAAAGTATCCTCGCATTTGACCCTCGATCCGAAGGATAGAGGCGTTTAACAGCGTAAATGGCTTGCACAATAAATGGTTTGCACAATAAATCGAGAGTCTGGGCTAATCTGTGAACTTTTATACTGGTGAGGAAGGGTTTTTGGTAAAAGTGTCGTCGTTTAGAGAGGGTGGGGGAGAGAGGGAGAGAGGGGTGCACCCATTGCCGTGAGCGCTAGAGCAGACTGGGTTAAGCAACCTTAACCACTAGGGTAAGCAACCTTAACAACAAAGAAGGTTCGTAGTTAAGGTATATAGTCTGTTCTAGTTTTCATAGCTTTTTTTTCAAGAAAGTAAAAGGAATCGCCGGAAATGATCACTTCGTTCGGACAGCTCGTGTGGTAAAAACAGTACATAATTGGCTCACACACTCCCGTGCACTTACACTCCTAAGGTAAGAGGGAAGACATAGGTAGACACCAATATTTTCTTGGCTAAGGTACGTAACTGACTACCATTACGGGTTCGCTACCTCACCCTTGCTGCGCTCTAGCGCTTAGTGATAGAGACAATTGGTGGTCCCCCGCCAACTATGTACATTACCCCAATTTTCACGTGATTGTTGGAAAGGTTCACGATCTGCTTGACTCCTTCACTGACTCTTTTTTTCTCCCCGTCATTACTTGAATAAGATTTATCCGCATTCGTCGTTTCCTTCACACTTCCACACTACATTCATTCATAGGATGGAATACTGAAGAACTCGTCAAATTGTACTGCTTTTTCCCTCTGTTCATTTCTCTGCCCTCATTTTCGGAAACCACGTCAAAATTTTTTATGGCTAGGCTGTTAATAAGCTTTTCCACCCTTTTCACCACAACTGTGACAGGCCCGTTCACCCCAATGGGGACTTCTTCCAATTAACTCCTAATTTTCGTTTCGATTGCGTTGCTATTCGATCAGTTTTTTTAAATGCATCCTCCACTGCTGGCTGTTTGTTCCATAATGCTCAGTATGCAGGCGATCGAATCCTTCGGTCCCAACATTTCCAAAGTTCAAAGTTCAACATAGGGGCGATCGAACCGCACAGGTCTGTCCGTGCACGGCTTCCCATTGATCGATGTTCCCCTTCCCCCTGCGGTACGGTACTCCCACTACTCCCATTCACTTTCTTCATAATCTTATATTCATTTAAGAGCACGTCTGACGTTTTTAAGGTGGTCAGAGGGCATTTTGGAGGATCTCACGCTTTAAAGCCGAACTTTTCTTAACGCACTATTATTCGATACGCAACTGGGTTACATCGTCATCATTTTAAGAGCTTTGGGGGATCAACGCTTGGATGGGCCATAATCAAGATTTTAGCCAAAAATTTGTGTTGTGGCTCACGCTGTCATCTAATGCAATCCCGGTATAGGTTGCTCAACTTACCTAGATGTCACACGTATAAATACCTCTTACCTAGATCGTCTCTCCTCGAAAGCCCATCCGGAATTCATCGGTCAAACTCGGTAATTGCCATCATTCAATGAGTGATTGCAGCAAATCCATTCATCGTTTCGGTATTCTTCCAGGTCTCCCCCACATGTTGGTTTAACCCTTTAAAGTAGAAGAACTGAGACTTGCTCTGCAGCCGATGAGATATCAACTCGTGCAGATAGATTGGATGGTGTAAGAGCCGCACACTCAATTGACTCACCCATCCCCGTTGCTCCTTCCCTCCTAATTCTTAGGTGAAAAAATAAATTTTCTTGGCTAGAAAACGTTCCTAAGCACCATTATGACCTCGCTATCTGCCCTACTCTGCCCTCTAGCACTTAGTGTTGCAGACAATGGGTGCCACCTCGACGACTACATTATCATCAACTTCTAAGTAGTTGTCGGGAAGCATCACGATTTTCTCGTTCGTTTCGTTCACGCTTCTACCCTACTTTTATTCTTAGCATGGTACGCTCCCACCGAGCATTTCTTTGCCCTCCTTCTCAAAACTCCACGTTCAAATGAATCTCTTTCATGGCCAGCCTGAGCAAAGAGCTTTCCCATATAGCTCAGTGAAACTATAAAGCTATACGTAGCATTTCGACGCTAGAGTTCAGTACAACTAACTGTGGGTATCGAACGAATGATTAGGCAACGGTGCACAAATAACAGCTGCGCCAGTAGCCATTACGCCACTCATCATTATGCCTTTTGAGTCTACCCTTTCGCAGCCGCTGCAGATATTCTGACTATGCTCCAACTTTTCCTAACTATAACTGTTCCATGTGATCGTTCTTGCGATATAGAAGGTTTGTTAACCCTGAATAATGGAAAATAGTTTGAAAGCAAATGACCATCACAAAGGCTAGCATCGAACGAAAGATGGAAGTTGGATTGTTCGAAATTTTTTAGTAACTCCTCAAGGTTTTTTTCTGCCTAGTGAAAGAACAAAAAGTTGACGAGAATAGCCAGAACCGCACACGTGTATCACAATGCTTGCTTTCAATTAGGGATTGCCTTTGTATTCAAATCACGCATAGGTTTGCTACAACTAGCTTTAGTTTTGCTAATTTGTCGCCATTTACATGTTTAGTTACTTATTAATTTTATGATTTCGACTTTTGCCCCTCTGAACGATGTACATCTGTGACAGCGACCTGGCCTGATTCCCATCAGTGAGTCATGGAATCGGCTATAGCCTCATCGAGTGGCGAAATGGAAAAAGCAGAGGAATGCTTGAGTAAAGCTCCTCATCCAATCGTGTCACCTACTGTATGCCAGTTAAGGTCCGCTTTCTTTCTAATTCCGAATATGCTGACTTTTTCCAAACTGGCTAGTACAGTAGGTACCTACCCATTTACCCTTTTGAGACTGAAATGGTTTGAAAAACAAAATTCAATCACGAAGTCAATATAGAAGTTGCATTTAGAAGAATACAGTTCGTATTGAAATTTCCCGAGTTACTATTCATTTTTGATCGTCATCTTCCCTGTTCATGTATTACGGTAGCCCTTATTGGCCTACCATCGATACCGACCGCCCATCAGTTTGTCGTCTTGTTTCGCGCAACCAACCACCTTCTACTTTTTTGTTGTTTTTGTTTTTTAAAGTCCTTCAAAGCCATTCCTGGATTGGATCAATATCCTTCACATCCATGTTAGACGAAGATTTGCCGATTTTTATCCAATCCTATATGCTTTTTGAGGAAACCCAAAGATAAGGACCGGATCGAAGTTAGAATTTCGGGTGTAAATTTCGTGTACCTGAATAGAATTCATGATACTGGTAGCAAGATGAGCTTTGTTTAGCATATAGACAGTCTCCAAAAGTGGTCATCAGGGATTCGTGTGAAGCTGCATTTCTAATCTTGCGGTATTTTTGAAAAATTTCGCTTGTGGTGTAACGACTAGGATGTAGTGACGTCTTGGCTCTTCTGATGACACGTGGGACTATTTTTCTTGTGTGTACAATGGTTCAGGCGACAGACTTGTACTTAGATTAGGTGGAGCTGTAAATTCCTGAATCTAAGGCTGAGCCTGAATCCACGATATCGTTTCTACGTTTCTGCTTATCCATGCCCGAATCAAGACATTGATAAAGGTGGATATCGAAAGGGAGCTGAGTTTGGAATGAGCATGGGCACATAACCCTTCTCTAGCTCTCACACTGTGAATCAGCCTGTTGATTACCGATTATCATATTGATCGTCTTGTCGGCATTGAGGATGTAGCGCACGTGGAGTGACTACCCCGAAAATGACGACTATGGATTGGCCACTTATTTGTTGGGTCGCTTAGGCTTCAAAAGATCCTCAAATACCATCAAGGGCAACCCCAGGTCGGAACCCCCATGTTCAACTGATTGTCCTGTTTCGATTGCCTGGATGAAGGAATTGCAAACACGACGAAAATCATGTGGTCAGTTCGGTTTGCTTACCCTACTCTTCTTGATTCCTCAATAATTCCCTAGGAGTCCTTCACGTTGAGCGTATTCCACTGAGTAAAGTGAAAGGGTCAGAGTGCAATCGGATCTTTAGGGTTGTTCCTGATGTCCCAAAGGTCAAAGTTCAAAGTGCAGGCGAACCAAACGCAGTCTATCGATTCCAGGTTTTCCTTGATAGGTCCCTTCCGTGTCCACCTTTTACCGAAGAAATCGATGCCTAGGGAATTCTAATGAGAGACCAGTCTGTGAACCTCCTTTCTGGAGTTTCAAACTTAACATGCAGTGACTTCTTGAGCCATGGCTACATCCATTAGGGGCAACCGAGGAATCTATGCCCACCGGCCCAGATTTCGCTTGAAGAAAACTTGTACTGCTCTGAAGTACCTCTCCTCATACCACAATCGTTGTGCGTTGTAGCTCTAACCAAAGGAATTTAGATTCGTCTTTCGAAACTTGCACCTTTCAGCTCATGGAATCAGTAGAAACCGCAACAATTCACACTTATGAAGGAGATGGATGATGTCTTTTAACTTCGATCACGTAACGACTCAGGAGGAATGGTTTGCTCGGGAGGATGTCAACAAGGCATTCCATCTTCGGACCGTGTTGGTGA